TAAATAGGAATCTTTAGCCAACACATATTATTGCACTTATATCAGATGTGAAAAAAAAATGTAAGATAAAATGAAAGTAAAAGTTTTCTTATTTTTTCGTCGGTCAATAATTCTTATCGGAGTTATTTTTGTTGAATAAATGAATATGTAGGAATTCATCATATATAAAGACATCATGTAGTCTTCTCATAGATAATAAGAAAATCTCTTTGGTAGATGAATCTCATTCAGTTGTTGTAATGTTTGAGATGAGTAGTGACGCGATCGATACTTTACAGAGCAGTTGAGAGTAAATTTTTACCAACTCTACTAATTTGCTCTTTTTTTAAATAAAGTCGTCAAGCTTATTAAATATATCTTAAAATTTGATTAACTTCAATCTCAATGCCTTTCAGATATTTCTTCTCGAATATCAACAAAGTCGAATAAAATGTTTGCTTGTTTCGAGTGTTCCGATTACATACAGACGATTACTCATAACAGCAGTTGAAGCTGCGGAACAGCAGAAGAGAATGACGCTAGATTAAGGCATATGGGGTATATGAGGCAATTGAGGAGAAAATATTAAAATATTTATTATTACCGGCTTACCTCATTGCTTGCACAATCGAACAATAAAAATTTTTACTGGGAAGTGAGAAACATGTTTGAATTTTCGGTACGTGAGATAAATAATATTTTTTTACAGTTTGATTGTTTTTATTTCAATTTCAATTTAAATATTTCAACAAAATATTTCAAATATGAAAGAGAATTGATTTAGTTGGATTAATAGGAAATGCAAAATATTGAATTTGCAGTCAAATAGGAACATACATTTGAAAGCATTACATATTAGAAAAATGATATTGTACCTCTTAAGACCTTCTATAAAGACTTGCACTAGGTGGGATTCTAGTCTTTTTTTAGCGTTTCATCTTTACACGGCTATATCCAATGACCTCTCATCCAGACTCAAATTCAACAAATTTAAAGAAAATAGTTTGGATTTCAATAAAAGATAGAGTTATCATATTATTTTTACGAAATATCAATAAATAAGGATAATTTTTCTATCATCCTTATTTGGAATCTTCGCCAGACTTGTTACTGGATTTTCGTAGCAGAATGCCTAAATCTGACCAGACTCGACTATTTGAACAGAACATATTCAATTTTCTCATGCTTATATATCGTAAGACTAGAGTAATGCTTGATTATATGCTTCAGAGTTACAAGAACCGGTGATCAAGCAAAAAAAGATCGAATCCTCCTCAATTACATAAGAAAAAAGTTTTGATTCTACATTTGCTCTATGAATTGGACACATTAATAAATGCAAGTTTTTGGATAATATTAATATTGAAAATATACCCAAAGGTGCTTCAGCGTGGACATAAACACAATAAATATTCCGGTGTCGCCGCTTCGAGCACTGGTAGACATATACTACAAAAAACAAGACAGGGTCTCATAGGGACAGATATATACCTAGATATTTCTGGTTTACTTCTATATACCAAGACGGAAATTCTATCAAGAGATAGGTAGCTCTTGAGCTGGTTGCTGAGGAAGTAAGCTAGGTAGCTTAGTATGGTACTATTACACTATTAAAGAAAGAAAACAAAAACTTGGGAGTGTCCCAGGACTATTTCAAACCGACGCCAGTGACGTAGGCGTAGAAGCAGTTTTAACACAAAATAATTGTGGGAATTCATTAGAAATCAGAAATTCATAGAACATACCTCATAAATGCAAAATATTTACCTCCGTATCAACAATAAGCTACAATTAAGAACCAAAACAAACAAATTTCAATAAAAAATGTGGCTTAGGCATGGCATGTGTTGCGATTTTGCTGCTATTTTCATATAATTCATATAATATAATAATAATAACGAATAAAAATAATAAATAAATTTGCTATGATTTCATACAATTCAAGTTGTGCAGTTTCGAGTTATGAATTTTTAAGTACACGCGCTGCTGTCTGTGTGTGTTTGATATCTTAATGAAATCATCTAAAATATAAATAACAATAATAATAAAATAAGTAAACAAAATAAATGCCGTAAGCATAAAAAATATACTTATTAGTTTACGAAATGACATAATTTTGCACCCAATTTATCTTTGAACAATAAACGAACAAATCTTTTAAGCTCAATATTTATTTATGTATGTGTATATTTAATTTTTTCCTGCACTTTTCTACAAAATTTATTTTAACCAAAAACAAACACACAAACACACAAACAACAATAAAAACAAAATAAAAAAATCTCTGTATTTTAGATACTATTTTTCCATCTACTGTATGACACCCAGCCCCACATTATTAAACATATCCCATTCGGCGTATTGCAGATGCAATCTTAAAACCTATTTTTATAATTAATTTTATTCACAGCTGTCAACATTTTTCCAAAAAAAAAGCGTCCAAAACTATATATAACAGGAAAACTACACAACAGGCGAGTACATGCATCCAAAGAATAGCTTTCTAGTATCTTCACGTTTTGTAATTTTCAATGAAGAAAATAAATAAATTTAAAAATAAAAATTAAAACAAAAATAAAAATAAAAATAAAAATAAAAAAAGGAAATTGTGTCAATAATGCATATTTATTTTTGTTTTTATTTTTGTCTTTAATTTTTTAAATTAAATTAAACATTTTAAATATTTTGCGTTTTGTTAAAAATCGTCTTTAATGTACCATATACAAAAATCGTTTCGGGGCGTATGAGCGACATATTTACCTCACTGGTCAGCATGTGGATAAAAAGTAACTGATCATTTCAGTTAATGCTGCGCTATAGTCATATTATCATATTATTATATGACGAAAACGTATGATGCCACTGCGAACCAGCCACTAGCAAAGACGGACGGTGGTCTTTTGTGTTCGACATAAAGATATATTATATGTTGTATTATAAAAAACTATTGTTTTTTAAAACAAAATATAACTTTCCATACAACTTGAAAAAGATATTTGGAAACACATTAAATGTACTGTAAAAAGCTATTCGTTATGTCAGGTTTTTTTTTCTTAATGGGCACTGAAATGCTCTGTTGTGCTTCGTACGCTGAGAATGTGCAAGAGAGCGGCAAAGAGCAAATGAAATGGGAGAACTCTTTATGTTTAGAGTATTAAATGTGCTTTCCATAGAAAAATTGCGGTTTATTAACGCATTCATTGCCGGTTAAATCACTGGAACAAGACGAATAAGAATAGTCTAGTAAAAATTTAAAAGAATATTTTATTATTGCATTTTCAAAGATTCCAAGAACAATAGAAGATTCGTAACCGCAGACGGTTTTTTACTACAAGATACACTCATATGTTTCTAACTAAATAATTTAGGCCATATGAATGAACTAGTCGAACACCCCATATCTAGATCTTCCAAAATAATCTCCTTTACCAACCATGCGATTTGAACTTAAAATTTAGAATGCCATATCCGGGTTTGTGGTAAAACGAAAGAAAAGAGGAAGTACTACCGCCACTAGAACCAAATGCGAATCATTATTTTACAACAAATTCTTGTGACAATCGAAGGGAAATTCTTATTTTGAATGAGAGGGCAAAACTTTGTAGAATGGATTAAAACATATGTAACTTGTATAACATTAAAAGTACGCAATTTCTAACACTGAAGACGCCACAAATAAGTTTCATGAAGTGAAATTCGCACTCTCCTCTCCAGTTATCAGAACGCATTTCTACATATGTAAGAAATTTTCAATACTTGAATCGCATTGTATGTTCTTGATAAATTTGCGGTTTTTGGGTCTTTCATATATTATCAGTTAAGTATATTTTTTTAAAACTATTTGCGAAAAGTATTTTAAAGGAGAAAATGCTTGTGCAGTAATTATCAGTAGAAATTTTATCATTACTACGAAAACAAAAAAAAAAGAATCTAATAAATCAAATTATTTAAGATAGTTACTAAGACCTATAAGTCAGGAACTGATAACTTTCAAACAAATTATAAATTTATAAGTGCATTTTATACTTAATGTATTTAATTAGCAGATAATAAAGAATTTTCTTTTATAATATTTTTTAATTCAGGCATTTAGTTAAATTCGGAATGTGGTTCCAAGAAAGGCATTATGAACGGCTGACAATTAACTACATAATTATTATTATATAGGTAGTTGTAATTATTATTATATAGGTAGTTAAAATTATTATTGTATAGATACTTAGATAGGTATTAAAACTATTTCGAACTTGAAGAATTTACCGACAGAGAGTTTATATTTTTATAAATTTATAAAGAATTAATTACAAAAGACTATATTGATCACAACAAAATATCTATTAGTACAACTATTATTGTTGTTGTTCTTTTAACACGCATAGATATCTTGATTACAAACAGGAAACACAAATAGGAAAGAAACTCTACCGAAACCTGATTCAAGCTAATAAATCGATAAATCAATAGCATTCAAATTCATGTGCATAATATACAAGTAAAAGAGATAAATAAATATGGAACGTCAAAAAAATAGGGCTTGTTTATGCACATATCAATATTCTGAGTCAAATTGGGGCAGTACAATTCATGCTGCATGAGGAAATCCTCTTTCATCTTAGGTAGAGATCTGTTGAAAGCCGTGATGCGATGCAAGTATGTTCTTGAAAAAAGTACTGCTATAATATGAGGGTGTTTAAACAAAATTTATCTGTGTGGGTTTTAAGCAACACTGCTTAGAACTATACATTGCTTTAAATTAGCAAAAATACATTATAACTTCTGTAAAAAAAAACTAAACACGTAGACTTTTATTAGAGTCGAAGTCTTGAGATCTTAATAAATTTATATATCAACATAAAAGAAAAATAAGATATTAAAATGAAATTTAAATAAAAACTATTTATTTTTAGTGCACATATTACAGTAGCTAAGAGATCAAAGAGGTAATGATCTTTAAGCATCTATGTTTTATTTTGCTTAATTGTTTATATTATATAAATATAACAAGATATATCTTTACTTACTTTGTTTGTTGTTGGACTAAGTTATCCACTTTGGCCTGTATGGCCTCCGCCGATGGTTGGTGCACTTCCTTAAGGAATGTGACAATTGATTTTGAGAGCGCTTCAATCTCTTTATAGGTCGATTTAATCTCTTCAGATTCGCCGAGAATTTCCTATAGAATTAAAGTCAATATTAATATTAAGTTAAAGATTTTAATAGAAATATCGACAAAAAGGACAAGACCTAAAATGTTTCTCACAAAACTTCCGGGCCTATCTCTGCATTGTGCTATTAAAAAGCCTCTGCCTAAACATTATTATATTATATACAATTTTTATACTACTTAATTTTGAAAATTTTACTCTTGTATAAATAAATTCTAACTTTTCAAATAAACATTTTCAATTATGGTTGCTAAGATTAAAAAAATTTTTTTTTTTAGTATATAAATGTAATATTTTAAACTTTTAAAAAAGTTATTATTATTTTGAATTTTGTGAAACCTGACTTCTGCTACTTTTAAGGACTTAGCAACAACTTACAAGTATATATATATATGTATGTATGTACACCTTTTTCTATAAGTTCGGAAAATTTCAATTTTTCCTTTTTAATATTTAAATTTATTACTCAATGAAAGGAAAAATATACATACATAATCCAATAAGATTAGGAAACAAATATTTGCAACATACTTCCGTACACATTTATTACAATCGCCAAATTCGTACGAAAGCATGATAGAAAGGGAATAATTAAAAATTTTGGAAAGAAGCTAAATCAAAAATTAAATTAATATAATAGGCGCGAGCGCACACACACATACGTACGAATATTTATATATTTGAAAAACTCTTTTTTGTACAAAATCGTACTATGAAAATATAACAATAACAAAAATAATAAAAAAAAACAACAACTGAAATGAAGGTCAGCACCGTCGTCGCATACGAATGTTTAACAGACGATGACAACGATAACGACAGAAACGAATTTGTCGTCAACGTTTACGTCGACGACAGCGACAACGTTGACGCTAACGCTGCGCCAACAACGCTGTCAAATATTTTTCATTTATATATTGAAAGCATGTGCACTCACTACTAGCGCTTGTTGTTGTTTGTTAGTTTAATTGTAATTACACTTTGTATCATTATATACATATGTAGTAATACTGATTCAGATATTTGTGCTGTCATACCAATTTAAATTGTTGCTTTTGTTTTGTTTTTGTTTTTACTATTCTTTATTTTACTTTATTTTATTTTACTTTCGGATGACAGCATCAGAAGCTTTATTATGCTATTATGTTTAGCAATAACAACAACAATAAAAAAGTTGGAATTAAGAAAAAAAGTTCGGGTTTAATTTATGTTAAATTATTTTAGACACACTATTTGTTGAGTATAAAAATCATAAGCTAATGCAAAATTCTGCTCTAGCTGCTGCTCTCTCTCTGAGCTCGGAATATATATTAATGTATTTTAACCAATCAAACAGGTCAATGGTGACGTATGAGCAACATTTGTATGTTTGTTTTAAATTAAATAAATAATTAAATGGTAGACTGTTAATTTGAAATTAAAATAAAATACATATAAATAAATATTAAGAAAAAATGTTTATATAAATGTGTACACATTTTCGATTTAGTACACCAAGCTAAACAAACAAACAAATGGGAGAACCTAACTAAACACATTACTTTTGTAAACAGATGGATGCTATATTTAGACGGCAACAAATTAATCGTAATTAAAAATTGCAAAATATGAGCTCATAACTTTCAAAATGTTTGAAAAGTCATATAATATAAAAAATACAATCTTAAATATAAAAATAAAATATTAAAAAAAATTATTAGAAATAAATTTAAAAAAAAAATAAATTTCTCTCCCATACTCATTAAGTGTTACATATGTAAACTAATAAAAATTTGAAGGATAAAAAAAATATATTTAGCTGAAAAAGGAAAGTAGACTGACTATTCAACGTTAGTAAAAAAAACTATTTAACGTTAATATAATTGTTTCTTCAAATATATAAAAAAATTATATTTATCATATAAAAAATTTATTTAGCAACTATCTATCAAGTCAAAAGAATAAATTGTTCAAAATTGTACTTCCGGTTTTTAATTTTTATTCTATGAATTTTTATTGAGATTTTGTTCTTTAATTAATTTATTTTATTTATTTTTCGACTGTTTAATTTAATAATTTTGTACGCCGGTTTAACAGGTTTTGAATCGCTAACTTTGTCACGTTCGAGTATTTGTATGCCCGTCTAATAAAATGAGCTCACACCACTCGAAATCAAGACAAATATTATTTTGATACGCGAATAAAATAGAGTGAAATTGAAATTGAAAAATTAGTCGTTTAAAAATTTATCGTATTTATTTTTTTTAAGCTAGTCATTTTTTTCATAATATGATTAGTAAGTACTCTTGCACTCACCTGAATGACATGCTTTGTATCTTCCAAATGACGTCGCGACCTTACAACTGGGTCGACATTGCGGTATTTATCCTCTAAACGTGCAATTGCCTTCTCCCAGTTGTGCAAACGATTATCGAAATCGTCCCACTTATCAGCGATGGCTTGCTGGTTATCACGCCGCTGCTCCAAACCCTTAATAAGCTCCTGCCACAATCTGTTTAAGTCGTTATTGTCTTTTTCAATCAATTCACGATTGCGAACGTCCGCTTGACGTAACAGTCCTTGCGCTTGTTGATTTACGAGTGTGATATCACCGGTTTGGCTCTGAAAAAATATTAATAGCCAAAATGTTGTTAAATGTCAAAAGTCCTTATGAAAATTTACTTTAGCTACTTAATTTATAGCTTATTTATTATTTAATTTTTTAACTAGAAAATATTTTATTTAGCAGTTTACTCTTTTGTGCCTTGCAAATCCTTGCTCTTAAAACAATATTACTATATTTTTTTTTTTTTTGTTTTTTTGGTTTTCTTTTGTTGTAAATCACACTGCTTTTTAGAAAATTTCACAACAGACACACACAAAGTGCCACAGAAGGAACTAGCAGTGTGGAAAGGGAAAAAATTTGCACATGAACAAAAACACTCTTACTTAATTATATTTCAATAATTCCTTTTGATTCAGTAAACATACGTACAACTAATTCTAATAAGAATTTAACAATTAATAGTTTTTAATATCACCAAGAAATTTTTGCACAATTGTTTTTATTTTGCGTTTTATATTTTTCTGTTTTACAAAATGTTTCAATTAATTATTAAATAGAAAACAAAAAACAAAATACAAAACTATAAACAAAGTAGTCTCTCAAATAATAATAATTTGAATAGAATTTAAAAAAAAGAACTCTTATTGCTCACGACCACGTCTCAATTTCAAATGAATACAGTGCGGCGATCTGAAATTCTTCAAACTTGAATTTGAAAACATTGCCAGAGACTCACATTTGCACACAAACATAAATAAAGGTGAAGCCAACGTCACTACACTAAACATGAAACTGAAAAAAAAGTCTTACAATTTACAAAGAGAGCGCGCTACACATAGTGTAAAATAAAAAGAGCAATAACAACAACAGTTGCTAAAAGGAAAGACTTAAAATACCGGTAAGGAGAGCCAAGAGTTTTACAAAAACAAGAACACGTTTTCTATTTTTTTTTCGGTGTTTTGTGATTTTACTGCACGCAAAAGCAAAGGACAAGAAAAACAAGACATAGGAAAACACAATTTTGCCGGCAGCAGTGCACACCCAATAAAATTTGCCATCATAATGTAGAAAGCAATCCCTACATGCAGCACAGCATTAAAGCATACTGAAGGACAACACTGTCAGGTCACTATACATTGTATATTGTATACGTATATCACTGCAGAAATTTACGTTAACTTGTAAGGCAAATGAAAATATATGTGTATATACATAAAATAAAGATATATATGCATATATATAATAAAATAAATTAATATGTAAAATAAATATATATACATAATATATACATATATACATACATAAAAAAATATATATATTTTAAACAAATAAATATATAAAATAAATAAATATAAAAAATAAGTATATAAAATAAAAAATATTTATATAAAATAATGAAATGTTGAAAAAAAATATTTATAAATAATAAAATATGTATAAAAAATAATGAAATATTTTATGTGCAATAATAATATTTAAGACTATTTAATTATTTACTGTTAATTGCAGTTAAAATAAAATTAAACTAAATTAATTTAAATTAAATAAATAAATATTTGAAATAAAAAAATATGTATATAAAATAAAAAAAATATCTATGTATATAAAATAATGAAATGTTGAAAAAAAATATTTATTAAAAATAATGAAATATGTATAAAAAATAATGGAATATTTTAATGTGCAATAATAATATTTAAGATTATTTAATTATTCACTATTTTTTACAGTTGATATACATTTATACATGTGTGCATAAATTTGTAGTTCAGACCGTGAAATTCTGATAAGAAATAAATTTATTTAAATATTAATATTTAGTGCCCGCCGCCCTAGTGACTAAGAATTCGGTGTGCCCTTTTATACGTACATACATACATACATATACACATATATGAAAATATATACATAGATTAAAAACAAAAAAATAAAATTGCATTGGCATTTACACCATATCAATATATTCAGTAAATTATTCTCTCCCACTACATATGTCACCCGTTAATTCATACAAGGTCTGAAATATATATTCATACTTTACACAGGCAAAGCTTTCAAGTGCAAAAAGCCGGTATTTTTTATAAGACATAAAACCAAAAAAGCATGAAACTTACTGCCACATAAATTAAGAAGAAAAAAATTATAAAAACGTTTAATGGAGCGTTGCAGTTGAGAGGTCACAATAGGGTTCGTATAATAATCGAAACAGTACCGTAAGTTTTATATGGCTTCTAACCGGTTATTTTAGGGTTATTATTAAAAATGTGAACTCTCATGTTCCTAATTTTTATTTTTTTTTTTTTTGAAAAAAAATTTCTGGAAATAGATTTCAATTATATAAGCTTCATTTAAGGATTTCCAGATAATTGAGAAAGTTATATCCTAGAATGGATATACATCTTATGACGATTGCCGTACAGTAACAAAATAGGTAAGTGAGATGTTTTTTTTCTCCTATGACACACAATTAAGACAATAGTACTTAGAAGGAGATCCTAAGAAATCGGTATACTACCACTAAAGGCAATATCCCATAATTTATACACCAATTAAGTTGAAAAGTAAAATGCGAGTAAAACTAATAGTAGTCGGAATAAGAACCAAACCGATCGCTATACCTTTACCAAAAATAACATTCCGATATCAGTATGGCAGTTATATTGAACAGTGAGTCGCGATTAAGACTAATATGACATCTGAGCTTTTTATGTCATTTTAAATTCTCGATTTTCTAGTATTTGGTGCGTATAGCTAACTTTAGTGAATATTGAAAGAAATCAACGTTATGAAAAGACATAACTTAACTGCCATTAAAAACATTAATATTCCTTCACACTAATCATATTCTTTATTGTTATTGCCATTAAAAAAATTGTTGATCCTCACGCTCAAAATTGTTTTTTCATTAGAAAACTAAAAGTATATGTATATATACAAATATATACAGATAAAGAAGCAGACAGATAGACAATTGAACAGGCAAGGAAATGGACTAACAGCCCTCCACACAGATATAGTACCCTCTTCGAGGTCACTGTTGCACTACAACAAAGTTGACAGTAGCCCCTAATATCTCTCAGGCACAGCAGTCCCAGCTCAATTGGGATTAGGATATAGTTATGTTGATCAATTTCAATTTTTTTGAAATTTTTTTTTTAAATGCTAGGTATTTCATTTAATATAATATTTATTTTATGACAAAAATATATAGGGGTATAGACAGAGTTGTACCAATGATGAGTGGTATTAGAAAATATTTCTTTCGCAATATTTTCTGTAAATTATATTATCAGCTGATAATCTATGGCCTAAACTTCCCTCTCCCACTTGATATGCCTCTGAGAATATTTATTTTTCATATTTTTCATTCCGTCGGGATAAACTCGTCGTACCAATCGAAATGTTTATTACCCAGTCATTTAAGTAACTTTACATTATCGATGACGGGTTGTAATACAGAGTTCAAACACTATTAAATCTATTAAAGTAACAAATCCTAGAAAATGGTTAAGGTTTTGACATTCGATGTCATTTTTTGTACAGATGAACAAAAAAATGATAATGTTCACATTAAAGTCTGTAAATGTAGTTATTAAATGCAATATATTTTTTAGATTTCTTTAATATTCATTTCTCAAATTGTAATATTTTGAAATAAAAATTGATATACTTGAAAAAACTTCAGAACGAAGATTAAAGCGATATTTTGATAGCCCCATAAGCTCCATAGGTTGTCTTTTTACATACATATGTACACATACGACTGCAGCACAAATTTTTAGAAAGTTAATATTATATTTCCATTATAAAATTTTTACTTATTTAAGAAACGATATTAAATCTTTTGGACAACATTTTCATTATGATCCATTGAACCCTAAAATATAATAGCGCCCACACAGCTATAGGCTGAGCAAAAAAATAATGTAAAAAACATATGTTAAGAGAAAATTGCGGTACCACGTGCATTGAAATTTTTTTCTTCTCATTTTTCTCTCGGTCAAAAACGTACTTGTCACGCACACACACATATACAAAATTTGACATGTGGAAACACAGAGGAGTACGCTAAGTTACTTGTATGATGATGTCATTTTCAGTCAAAAGAAAAAAAATCATTTAAGTTCAGATATCCATTGCGCTCTCCTTTGCTTTATGCACACATGAAGTACACAACTGAAGAAAACAGTAAAAATAAAACAAAAACAAATTTCTTACACTCAATGTGATTCGAATATATTTACTTGCTATTACCAGCGAAAAGCAAGTTTATCTATGACGACTAACTCTCCCTACACATACCTACATCTACATGTCCATATGCTATATGTAGAACCTACCCCACTACCTTTTTATGTTAACTTTACATAGAACTCCACTGATTTTTGATTGTTCCAATTAAACAATAAAAATGTTTATTAAAATGTTATCAATTAATAATTGATTTTTTTCAATTTATTTGAAAGTGTGTATTTTTTACCACTGTTAAATAAAAGTTAACATGTGTGCAGTGCACAGAATGTAAATGCACTCAACACAGTCAAGTAGTAAAAAGCGAGAAAGAGAAAAAAAGCATGAAAAGCTTTAACACCGCCTTTGCAGAGAACAAATCCAGGTCAAAATCAACTTTCCATACAACTTTTGCCGGCCGGCAAGCAAAATAAAGCAAAATTTGTGAATTGCAAAAATAAAACGAGAAAGCAACTCACTTTTCAAGATTTCGCATACTCGCATACTCGCATTTATTGCAAGTGAGTAGATTAGCAGCCATAAAATATTTTTTTTTTATTAAAATAGAAAAATTTTATTGAAAAATTAATCGTAACTTATTTCGATTAATTCTGAAAAAGTCTTAAGCATTTTTTTCTGCTTTAGTAGGTATATTAAAAATATAGTACTCTAAGTCCCAGTATGTAGTGCTGTCCTTAACATAATAGCGACTAATTCCGGTATTGAAAACTTTTGTATAATGTATTATTGTTGTTAATGTTGTAACCCATGTTAGTCCACCAGCTTTTCAAAGATTCCATAGAATACCCTACTAAAAGTATTTACTACTATTACTGGAACAAAGATAAAAACACCCATTGACATCGATGACCACACCACATACGAATAATAAAGATTTCCTAGATTATAGTTGAAAGAACACGAACGTACCCAGAGAAGTAACAAACAATTAAGCCCTATGTGATTAAAGTCCTCAAAGCGAAGCGATTAGACACAGAAAGGAGAAGCAAAAACTAAGTTAATAGATAGGGCAGACACCGAAAAATGAGGTGCAAAAAGAAAGAACTGGACCCAGATTATAAATCCAAAAAGCATGTTGGCTAAAAATGTCAACATAAAAGAGACCCTTTTCGAAGTAATGCTATTGCGGTTCCAAAGGGAAATAATTTTCTCCGAAGATGAAGTTTTTTAGTCCATACACAACATATAAATAAATTAGAGTCCGGTACACCATTCCAACGTCGAGCGTTCTGTTAAGGAAATGGGAAGATCAGACTCGATCTTCACATTTCCTTTATTGAATCATACACATCTCATCTTAATTACGTTATTCTAAACCCTAATCAATTTAACTTTTTGGATACAAGATATAAGCCGTTTTTTTCGAAATAGTGTGGATGTAGTAAAATCTATAAAAACAAAGCGACTAGCTTGCGTAAGTTCTACAGATCGAAGAAAGAATATTGGACGATAACCCATTTTCGTAATTTGAGAACATCATAATGGGCAACAGGTGTCTTCGGTGAAACTATTAATATGTGTATCAACAGGCGCCTTCACAAACTATATTATAAAATTTTAAGACATCTCCATAAGAACACGAGTATATGATATGATATGATATATGATATGATATGATATATGATATATTTCTTATAGATTACAATTTAGTAGATAAAATAAAGTGACTGATCTGAACTTAACATACAATATTTTATTAAATATATTCTAAACTATATATTTTATATACCATAATAAATATATTTATAAAATATAAATAAATATACCAAAATATAAATAACACAAACTCACCTGTACATTTCCAATAGCGTGGGTTAATTTTTGTATGTTAAAATGCAAACCAGCCAGATTTTGCACAGGTTCATCTACGAATTTAGTGCGCTCAATAATAGCTTTAACACGATCAACCAGTTGACCATATTCACGCCAACGGTCATTTTCTTTTTCCAATGAACTTTGTTGAACTTTACTTGCTGCTAGAGTATTCGCCAATTTTGTTTGGAATAGTGAAAGTTCAGCTGATAGCTCAGATTCTTCATAATTATTGAGAGACGGCCAAATTTTGTCAGCGGCCTCCTGAATTTGTTTTTGCACTAAATTTTTGACAGGAGTAACATTACCGAAGAATATTTTGTGTTCATTAAGATCATTAGAGAGATTTTGATAATCGATTCCATGTTGTCCATTTTGTAATCGTATCTCAGCTTCATGAACCCAATCATTGAATTTTGCCACTAGTTTCATGTATTCAAGACGCGAATCACGATTGTTAATTAGATACTTTTCACGTTCTTCGAGTTCCTGTGGCAAAAGCGATAGTAAAGAACGTCCTTCCGATAAAAGTTCAACCAAAGAACCTGGCATGCCCACCTCAGACTTGATGCCATCATTAATCTTGCTAAATTTATCGAGATATTGTTGTATGTCATCACTCAATTTGTGATGTTTTTGCAGTTCATGTTCAACTGATTCTGGATCGCGATCAAGTTGAGGACGAGATTTTGCTGCGCCTTCATTATTGTGCAACCAATCTAATATTTCAGATAATTCTGCGGCCAGTTTTTTGTGATGTTCGAGTTGTATTTGATGTTTTTGACGTTGTGATTCCACAGCTTTGCGTAAGCTATGTAATTGATTCTTTAAAGATTGCAATTGTTCGGTTATACTGTTTTTGTCAGCAGCAGTTCCTTCAGAAGCGATCTTTTGCCCTTTGTCATTTGCTGAAGCTAATAAGCCCTCACATTCTTGTATTTTTACAATAACGTCATCATATTTGTTGATTTTATCTTCTAAACTATCTGGTGAGTTCTCAATATCTATGATAACATCGGTATATTTCATAATAAAGGCAATTATTTCATTAATTAAGGCGATGAACTGTTCACGCAACAATAGTAATTGTCGAAGATGGGCCAGTTGATCCTCAATCAGTTTAATCATGTCATCTTGCTGTGTTAATATACTTTGCAATTCGGGCAAATTATCATCTTGCATATCGCCCATGCTACTTTTGCTGTCTTTGAGCTTTTTCAATATGTCCTCATAGGCACCCAACAGTTCTTGGACATCCTCAATCTTAGAACCAATTGGTTTGTTTAACTCTCGCAATCGTTGTTGAATTATGTTAAGGAACTGCATACAATCAGCCATTTTATTCTTAGCATCCTTATACTTCTTAATATGATCTCCCAGTGTACCGACTCTATCATTAATCACTTGTTTGATTTTAGAATAACGATCTTTCATAGTTTTAAGATCATCATTCAATTTAAGCTTATCGGGATTGCTAAGGGTTGGCAACAAACCTTTACCTTGCTCGGCCACATCATTCATTGCAGTACCAACGTTGTTGGCATTGTCAAGTAATTTCTGGTAATGTGAAAGTTGCTCTTCGAGCACTGGCAAGCTAGTAGTGCGAAGTTCCACTGCGGTTGCAGTTTCCATTTCATTAAGCCAATCATTCATTTTCTTTATTGCATCTTCGAATTGTTTGCGTCCTTGCAATAAATCGTTTAGACTCTTAGAACGTTTAGAGGTTTCATCTTTTAGTGTACCGAAGTCGTGTTCGATTTCATCCAGAATTTTCTGTAAAGCAGCTCTATCAGCATCTGAGCAATCCTTCATTATATTGTTTGCTTGACGTTGTAAATCACTTAATCTACCATCGTTAAATTGTCTTGCTTCATCGTCATACTTTTTACTTTCATTCAGTTTCTTTTCGATATCTGAAGAAGACAAAGGATGATATACGGGCAATTTTCGTACTTCAGCAATTTTCGACTTAAGCCAAGAACGCGCATTTTCGAGATCATTTTCTAACGACTTTCTAGCACGTGCTGCATCTAAAGCACGTTCCATTTCACTCTTTAGCACGTCCGACAGATTGCGTTGATCTGAGTTAAGATTGCGCAATGCTGATTCTAACTGAGCATATTCGACAGGCTCCAATTCTGGTTGCATATTGGATATACGTTTCTCCAATGCATCGGCTAGAGATTGTTTTGCTTCAGCATCCTTCATCATTCCTTTTATTTGTTGTTGACGAACTTCCGCAGATTTTGGTTCAAATCCAATTTTGACAGGCGCTTGCAATTCAACAATTTTTTCTTTAACCCAATTTTGTAGCTGGTCAATTTCAGCTTTTGCACCTTCCACACCCTTATTAGTCACATCTAAAAGTTGTGCCTTTCGATCAAGACGCTTACCTAGATCGGCATAACGTCGATCTAATGATTTCATTTGCTCTTCAACTTGTTGCCCATCTAAATTACTAATGACTTCGGCAACTTGTGCTGCTTTAGCTTTAACATCTTGTATTTTATTTGGACTTTGCTTTTCGAACTCTTCTTTTATATCCAACATGGCTGTCATTTTCTGGCCACAGTTCAAACCTGAACCCTTATCAAGCACATCCATACGCTTAATCAAAGAATCGAACCAATTTTGTACATCTTGTAAACTTTGACGGTAATTATCAATCGTATTCTGTCCACCTTGCTTCTTAGCAATAGCGTCCATTAGTTCTGTTTCTAACTTATTAAGATTATCATCGAGATCAGTATCCTCGTCTCCAACTACAGAAAAATTATTATTATGGTCATTAAAGGAAACATACATATGTTTATAGAATTTTCATTGATATAAATTAGATACTTACGAGATCCTGTCATCTCCAACATAAGTTGTGAACGTTTATCGCCAATGGAATTAAGCATATCGTTCATGGACACTAGTTCTTGTTTTGCGGCTTCTGGACGCAATTTACATGGACGAGTAGACCAATCAGATACTGCATTTTCTTGTTTTTTAATCCAATCTTGCAGTTCCGCACGTTGCTTTTGCTGTTGTTCCAATTCACTCACAGAAGCAACGAGACCATTAAGATGCGAATGTACCTGGTAATTAGAATAAAAAAGAAACTTATTAAGAATTATTCTCACGTAGGTTATTACACCATAGCAGACAACCAAGCACATTAAAACGATGACGGATAATGAATGTAAGTTTTTCACACGAGTCAAAAATCTTTAACTAAATTTTTCAAACCAGTGTTAAACAGGTATTACTTAATATTTCGAATATATTCACATATAACCACGCCCAATGTAGATGTTTTGATTTAATGTGGATTAAGAAATTTCGCCCAAAAATTGCTCTAGTAAATTTTACAAAAGAATATGAAAGTGATATTTATATAAAATAACCAATATCATCCAATATCGAGCATTATAATGTTAAAAGACCTTATTCTGTCTTCTGTGGGAATATAAGATTGCACAATAATGAATATGTGAAATAAAGTAGAAATCGCCTAATGTGGGAAATCGTAGATTCTATTGGCAGTCTGTACCAACGTAGACGAGACTTATATAGATTTTACAAAACAGATTCATTGTGATATCATATTGTGTTATTTATGCTTTTAAACTGATTCAGTGTAAAGGATAACGTCATGTGGCTAAGAGCTATAATGGCACAGATGTCAAATATCTGACAAATAATTGCCTTTATCTGGGTCTCTTGCCTTTATCTGGGATTTTTGCTGTATAGAGAAGTCGTCTTTTTTTCTGGAATATTTTCAGAAAAAAAGCTATTTTTAATACAAACGAAGTTTTGAGGAAGTTCCGACGTAGGTATAAAAAAAAGTTAGCCAGCATCCGCAATTGACATCAATGATATCATCTTTCTTTCCGGAAAGGTATTGTGTATGAAGATATTAAGACCAGTTAACATTCTTCGGTATTTCACATCATTAATGTTACCTCCAAAAACACGGATCCACGGAAACAGCAAATTAAAGACTCTGCTAATTGGATGTTTGCGTGGTAAACAAGAAGTAATTACTTATATAAAAATGATTGTATTTTATAACAGAAAGCAATTTTGTTTTTGGATCTGAATGATAAATGTGTAACATTCGATAACAGCCAATAGAAGCAGCAGTTACAAATTCTAATAAGCTAATATGTGATTCCAGTGCATATAACAGATCTGGTAGATTCATATAGGAACAGAATATAAGATTGTCAGCTTACTATATAGGATTTTGGGTTGATGGTTATAGGTACATAATTACAGATTCATTGATTGTAAAAGGTAGACTTATGAATGCTTTTCTAGCTTAATTAGTAAATATATTATTTAAGAATTTAATTAGATATATATAAGTGGATACTTCCATATCCAAAGATTGTAGTATTCTGGATCGACTATTATTTTAAATTTTCTGTTATAGACATATCAAAAACCGTAGCTGATTTAGTTGGCCACACATCAGTTTAATTATAAATTACTCTTATAATAAGAGAGTAAAAAAATAATATCAAAATTGAGCATTCGATCTAAAATAATATATAATAAAAATAAATACTCTTGGTCCCAATGGAATAAAACACTGCGACTTTAGTAGCTCTTTTGTGATGTTAGGTGTCCTTAAGTAAAAGTATAAATAAAAGTAAAGTAAATGAAGGCCAAAATGTCGATTATTAATTTCCTAATATCAGACGGAAATGGAAAAGCCGGACAGTCATAAAAAACATAAGAAGTTTCATCTGCTTAAAAGCAGATCTGTCATTTCGTCTTATCAGACCCAGCTTGTTGTTGTGGTAACGCAGACCATGGCGATATGTTAAAAAACCTGTAAACATCATTAGCTCTGTTAATCGGTCTAAAACGACATCAGAAGTACAAACTAGGTCTGTAGTTTGGCGATTATTTAGAGTGTCGTGCTAATAGCAATATTTTTTGTTACGAACACCATTTCAAATTTGATTTGAGATTCACTGCTATTATCTCACTAATAATATATGATGTGATACATAATAACGCTAACTAATAATAAACACAGCTACTCACTAATCTTTGATAGGTTTACTGTACAAATACGATGACACCAAACCAATCTACAGAATATTAAAAAAAATGTAAAAAGTGTCCTAACTAGTCTTAAGTTATATGTAGGTATTGAAATATTATTAGCAAATAACTCATCTCAACAAGATGGATCTGTGTGATAAAATAGAATGACGGATCTGCTTTGAGGTATGTGACGTCTCTTGGTGTTTCCTATTTTGAATAGGAAGAAAAACTATATCATATTGTTGTAATTTTCGAATTAAATCATGAGTTTTAAATAGTTTTCTACTTTAAGGAAGGATAAATATTCTTTATAGATTTGCAGTTTCTGTCATCGTTAAATAGTCGGTATATGTAGAGTTAATATAGATTATATATAGGAAACCTTGAAATTGAGCATGCACGATATGTAACCATGTAAATCATGGATGTAAACCTCACCTCCCTCCCCTTATATTTTAGTATAAATAAGTTTTCTTATAAATTAGTAAATTAATAATTATATAATTATTGAATAAATTGAATAAATATTAAAATGGAACCAAATTCAAATGAAATATACAATATAATAATTGCAAGGCGGGAACAAGAAGCAGCAACAAGCAATAGAAGCCAATACGCAACTGAACTTACCTTCGCGGTGAGAGATTGGAGCTTTTTGATGTGCTCACTGTTTGATCGTATTATCTTGCGATAGCCGAGAATACGGTCGTGAGCAAGTGCATCCAGGAAAGCATCATTAATATCGGATAACTCAGTATCAACATCTTCATCATCGGTACCAAAGATGTTGGTTGAGTTTTGAGCTGCTTTTTGCATAAGCGGCTATTTATCATTTAAAAATGCAAAAATATTGCAAAATTTTGTTTAAATTTCACGGCCACGGATAATTAGAATTTCGCATTTACAGTGCATTAGGGACATTGGAGGTGCAGCAGAGGATTAATGTCATTAACAATAGTAAGTAGTCAGCAATAACAAAAAAATAAAAATAAAAGCAAAACATATCATAAAATTAAATTAAATTAAAAAAACTCAAAAATTATTCTATGCACTAAATTAAATTAAGAAAATTTTAATTAAATATTATAATGGTTAATTTAAAGATAACAAGCAACTACGTTTCCCACTATTCTTCTTACCTGATCAAGTAAATCTTCCAATTTGGCACGCACAACCAATTCGCGTTCTGGTATTGTTTGCATGGCTGTTTCCAATGGGGAACTAGGGCGACTTATGGATGCTGTAGCAGCTTCGCATGCTTGGACGGCTGAGGCAAGACGTGTCTTCTCAAAGTTCAACTTGTTTTGCATGTTCTGTAAAAGCGAGAAAGTAGAGACAATATATAGTACCATTTTAAGTGGAGGGATTTTCTTCGTTATACTATACTTACTTGTGCACATTTCAGTTGATTCTGTGCCATTTCCAAGTTGATTGCTGGTGCATCCAGTTCGGTTTGTATGATTGGTTCATATTGTTCTAAGTTGCGCATTATGCTATCCAAGGTATCTTCATATTCTTGGAACTTAGCTAAAGATTCATGAAGACGATTTTTAATTTGGATTGAAGTTTGTAAAAGTGAATTGTAACTGTCTTGTATATTTTTCAGCTGTGACTCGACAGTGTCACGTATCGCAGGTGTTGTGCGTTCGTAACGTTTTATTTGACCTTGACCTTTGGCGTTCAAATCATCTAAATTCGACTGATATTTCTGAATTTCGTTCAAAAGTGCTTCGTGTTGCAAGATTTGTTCGTTGGTTTGTTCACGATTCGATATGAAAAGCGAATTATGCGCCATGAGTTGAAAAGATATTTGAAGCAACCATTTCTCAACATCTTGGAGACTCTGGTGGTAGGCATTATAGTCTGCCATTTCATTTTCAATATCTCGAATATAATTGAGACAATCATTTTTAATTTTCTCCCAACGCGCTTGCATTTGATGTATATTGTCAACGTCTGTAGACAATTCTTTAGCCTCGGACAACAAACTGTCTATATCAACACCCTTCTGTTTAATCTCATTTTGTAGTGACTTGTAGCGTTCCACTAGCGTTTTCATTTCACTTAGTTCGCTCTTTGTATCGGGCACAACTTTCAGCATGTTTTCAGTGGCATTAATCCATTTTTCCAATTTATCTTTATTGGCTGAGAAATCTGCCCATCGGGTTTGGATTTGTTTCAAATCATTCAACTTCTGTTTAATTGCTAAACCAAGTGCATCCCAATCTTCGCGTACTTTCGTCATAAGTTCACGCAATTTTTCCTGTTTCTCTTCTGGTGTAATATTCGATGCTTTCGAGTAAGCATTCTGTACCATACTCAACAAGTGCTGACCTTCGGGTAAACGAGCAGAAAGAGACTGTAAAAATTAAAAAAGAGACTGCTATAACATATGTTTTCAATATTTTATACTTATATGGGCACTCACGTTAACTATGTCCAACTGTAAGTCAATAGCTTTGGTGTCACTGTCATTAGCGCAGCCATTCAAGATCTCATATGCTTTCTGTATCCATGCATCCATTTCGCTCTTGTAATTCAAGAATTCTGTATGATCCATTAGATTTTTCTCTATTTTAGCAACCAGACCTAAAAAATTTAATAGGCCCTTTAGAAAGAGCAATTGATTTAAGCAAAGCATTGTAAATACCTTGAGCAGCTGTTAATAGTTTCGTGTAATTGGCTTGAGTTTCGACAGTTTGATCACGTACTCTTGAGCAAGCACTATGTTCCATGAGTAGTTCACAAGCATCATTCAATTCTTCAACTGTATCTTTTTCAGCAACGACTTCTTCCAACAGTTTCTAAATACACAGAATGAAATTGCAAAAATTAAAATACAGTTAAACCACAAAATACGATAAAAATTAGGGTGAAATTCAGTCCAAAAAATAATAAAGTTTAGTGACTTATTTTGATTACCAATTTCAACAAGCAAGGTAAGTCGAAGAACGATAACAGTTTTCTAAACGTCGTGAATCGATGACGGATTCTGATAAAATCATCTATTCAGAGCAATATTTTTACTAATCTCTATGCCGATATATAGCTTCGTTTAATCGGACTTTAAAGTTAGACATTTTTATATTGATTTCACAAACAAAAAATAGTAACACCATCCAGCGGCATAACTTTTTATATACAATTTTGACTTTGATTATGAAAACACTTATTAATAACTATTAGACTTGCTAAATAGCGCCTCTAGTTGCTTTTGGTTTCTGTCATGTAAAAATTTACAACTTTAAAACCGGATATCTCCATATAAAACTTGATGAAAAGTTTCTCAGAACAGCCGATATTATCAAAATCCGTCGTCAAAGCACGCCACATATGTAACTGCTATCGTACCCAAATCAAACTCGGAAACTACTTCAAAAATATTTTACATTTGACTATTTTTTCACTAAGTCACACCCATTTTTTATCGAAATCTGTTAGATAAAATTTACATTAAATCTACCAAAAGTTAAACTACTGAGTTTTGTTAAATCATATGTTAAAATAAAAAATTCTTAAAAAGCAATTGTTAGAGGAAAAGTGTAAGAGTAGGTGTACAAGTACGGATTCATCAATGATGTGTTAAGAGTATTACAGCAAATTGAGATCTACTCGTGGGTTAGTTATTGTTAGTAGCAATTACAGATAAGTTAGTGCAAAACGTGCTGTGTTATCGATTTAGGACATGATGATGGAACTTACCTTGGCGTTAACCAAGTCTTCAGGCGTTTTGTTTTCCTCTTCGCTGGCTTTGGCAACGCGTTTGTTAATGTAATCGATCCATTGATTGATTTTGTTGAATTTTTGCAAGAAAGCGTTCCACGATGTCAAACAGGACTCCAAGTTCGAGCGCGCATCACGTGATATTGCTTGCAATGTTTCCCACTCATTTGTCAATTGTCTGATCTCTTGTGAGACAACATCTTGACCTTCAGAACTGGTTGTGCTAATTACAGCTTTGCTTAACTCTTCGCATGCGTCCAACAAATAACTGCCTTCGGACATTGTGACGTCGATGTCGCCTAATTTTTTCAAACTGTCCTCCACTTTTTGTTTCTCACCATGGCAATCAGAACACTGCTCGAGATCAATGCGTGTCTTGCGCAACCAGTCTTGTATTTCATTAGATGCTTGCTTATATTTATCATGACTATTGACTTGGTTCTCGAGAGACTCGATAATATTTGAGAGAAGTGTTTGTAACGCTTCATATTTGTTAAGACCATCTTTGAAGTCGTTGCGGTCAAGACTGTTGTCTTCGTTTAGGCGTTGATTAATTTTTTCCATTATGTCGTGATGTCCGTTTATGTCGCGTTGTATGGCGCGGAATTTTTCGAGTGCAGCACGTTTTTCGCTGAGATCATTAAGGAATTCAAAGTTGGCTTTACAGTTCGGTTCGATATCTTCAAGCCATTCAGTAAGCAGTTTATATAACTTATATATCTCTTCAAGTTCGGCTAATCTATTTGCAAGTTGTTGGCGTACATCATTCAAATCAACTAAAAGTTTTTCAAAGTCTTGTTTCAATAGCTCTGTGTCTTCCTGTATCTTTGCTGCACCATTTTGTTCAGTATTCATTATTACCTTTTCTTTAAGCTCCAATAAGTAACGTAACTTATTTTGACCAGCTTCAAAGCCCTGTCTTAAGTTCTTGACAGTGTTGAGTTTTATCTGAACTTCGTTCAAAGTTCCCGGTATTACTTTGCATTCTAAAAGCTTTTCTCGCGTATTTTCAATCCATGATTGGCATTCCTCGTACAATGTGTGATGTTGTTGGTGTTCTTGATAGTGCACTTCAAGACGACGCATAACTTCCTTTGCAATTATTAGCAACGCATTATATTTAGTAGTGAGTTGCATTATAGCGTTACTTATGCGCGTATCAGAACATGTTTCCAGCAAAACTTGTGCTTTCATATTTAAATGATCCAATATTTTTTGCCAGTCGAACAATGTTTGTAAATGCCCTTGGAACTCCTCGAGAACATTCTTCTTTTGACCAAGATTTTCCTGTAATTTATTGTATGACTGAACCAAAGCTTCTGTTTTAGTCAACCATTCAAGTGCCTCAGCGTACTGATCTTGGTAGTCGGACCACTTCACGATACCAATTTCTAGATAATCCTTTGCTTTTTTCAATGCATCAACATAAGCATCGAATTCTTCTTGTAATAAAGCAACTTCTTCTTCTATAATTTCACGGTCTTCAGGTTCTGCGCTACGACAAGCGATCTCCCCTTGAGCCAAAGCCGCTTCAAGTTTCTTTTGTCCTTCGCTAACTTCACTTTGTAGAATCTTCAGTTGGTGAGTTTTTTCAGCCAAAGCTTGCTTATCACCGGTTGGCTCAGAGCACTTACTTAATCGTTCCTTTGCATTTCGCAACCATGCAGCAAATTCACTTCCAGCATCAATAAGCGCCTGGTATTGATCAATGGTATTCTTTTGCTTGTCATACAAATCTTTAGCCTGTTTTGTTAACGTTTCATATTTATTTGAAATCTCTGTTGCTGGCGCACCCTGTTGTAAATCGGACGCTTTAGATGTTACTGATTGTATCATCGGTTCAAAGGATACAATGTCCTGCACAATATTATTTGTTTGTCTTAAGAATGCCTTGCGTTCACTTAAGCCAGAACTAAGACCTGGCTGACCTTTCTTCGATTTAACGATTTTTTGTTCGCAAGCCTGTTGAAGTTTCGCTTCTCTATCTTGAATCCATTGTTGTAACTGTGAATAGCTGGAACTATAATCAGCCCATTGTAATAGATTTGTCTCTAACTGTACTTTAGCTGTCGATAACTTCTTAACTAAACGATCCCAGTCATTTTGTAATTCTTTCATTTCACTATTGATAACATCGCGGCCATCGGACCTTGTATTTCTAACAACTTTTTCTCCATTATTTATAGCTGAATGCACTAGATTTTGACCAACTTCTCTATTCTTTATTAGATCGTGTATTTTTTCTAGACGTCTTTGTAAGACATCTTTTGACGCTGCATTTGAAGCTTCAGTGCACTCACGAATCACATCCTTGGCATTGTTAATCCAATCCCGTGCTGATTTAACATTTGTATTATATTCACGATGTTGATCACAATTGGTCTCGACCTTTTTAAGTACATCCTTTGCCAAATTTGTCTGTACCTGGTACATTGAATTCAAATGCCTTAATTGATTATTTACATATGAATCGAGATGCGATTTTAAGAGACTCGCAGCAGATGCATTGAATTTGTCAATATTATTTTTTCCTTTTTCTATTCGCGACATTATATCCCTCATATCTGCCACTTGTTTCTCTTTTTCTGGCAAATTGGGTAACAAATTAAGTTTATGATTTTTCACCAATATATCAATTTGCTGTAACCACTCAATGAGACGATCGTATTCTTCTTTGTATGCTCGCCATTGTACCATAGTGACCTCAAGTCCTTCTTTCTGTTGGTTAATTTCTCTAAACAGTGCTTCAAAGTTATCACGTAGGCTGCGAATATCATTTCGGATAATTTCTTGACCTTGTGTAGAGGTGCTAGCTAAAACAACATCTCCAGTGTGAACCAAATGCTCAACTAATAACTCACCTTGAGCTTGTTTGTTTAGCAATGCTTCAGTTGCTTGAACAGCACTTTCTATAGCAAGTTTATCACTCAAAGTGCCCTGTTTCAGCACTGGGAATTTCTCACGAGCGCGGCTTATCCATGCAACCAAATCGTCATAAGCTTCTTTGAATAATCGGTGATCTTTGTATTGATCTTGACGTTCAGATAACAATTTCTGAATTCTAGAAACTAGTTCATCAAATTTGTCTAGCACTTTTTGAGCTTGGAAAGCAGCTTGACTTTGTTGTCCACTTGCTATCATTTCCTTTGCTTGAATTTTCAATGCATCTACTTCAATTTTTTCAACTCGAGATCTTTCTTCAGCAGTTTTGATACGATCTAGTTGTGCTCTCTTTTCTGTCATGGTAGTTTGGAATTCAGAAAAGTCTTTCAATGTGTCTTCAAGGGACTTATTATACTTGTTCACATTTTCGATTTGCTCCAAGAAGCCAGACCACTGTGTAATGGAATCATCTAAATTAGCTTTGACATCAATTATACGTAGTGCTATAACTGACCATAACTCTTGAAGGTCTGCCAAGTCTTTATTAATGGCAGCATGACCAGCAGGTGCAGTATTAGCTAACACATTCTGAGCTAATTCTACGATGCTCAACACTTTTGCAGAGCCTTCATCTTTTAGTAGTATTACATCTTGTATGATAGATAGCTTCTTCTCCAAATCTTTCTGACTCATAAGCGATGAATCTGTACAGTAATCAAGATTCTCTTTAATTCTATTTATCCATGCAGTACATTCTGACACAGAGTTATCGAATTCTTGATGAGATGTTACATACTGCTGCCAACGGTTGTTTAGCTCTTTCACTTTGTGCAAAATTTGTTGATATTTAGTGACTAATTCAGGACCAAAGGAACGTGCGCTTGAAGGTCCCTTTAACAACAGTTGTGCTTTTTCTGACACATTATCAATCTCCAACTCTTTAGCTCGAACTTCACCTTGTAATGTTTTTAGATCTTCCAATTGCGACTTCTTCTCATTCAAATTAGGTTTCAGATCAATGGCATGTAGTTTGTAGTCAGTATCACGTAGCCATGTCAAGCACTGATCTCTTAAGTGTTCATAGTCTACCCATTGTTGCAGGCGATTTTCTATTGCTTCAATTGTAGAAGTGACCGAAGCAATAAGGCTTTCCCACTCTTGCTGTGTATTATCGATTTGAGTTTTAATATTCACTTGTCCAACATCTACTGTGCCGGGTATAACTTTCTCGCCCAATGCACGTACTTGATCCACTCGAGGGAATTCATCTGCCAAACTGTCTTTTAAATTCTTCAAACGATCGAGATTTGTATGTAATGACACTTGTTCCAAGTCCAAGTCTCCCCAATAATTTATTGTGTTGTGAGTAGCATCAATGAATTCTTGAGCATCCATCACTGCTTTGCAATATAATTGATGGGCGCTTACAATACCCTCATAACGTTCAACATAATCTTTAACCCTTTTATGCAGTTTTCCAAATTGGTCCGTAATATCTTTTGTGATTTGCTCTACATGCTCTGTCTTTTCCGGCAAGTTTGCTGCTATATCTTGTAAATTACCAACCTCTACTTGATGATTACTAATATCACTTAAAATGTCGCGATAATTCTGTAACATCGCACGTTTTTCATCTAAAGTTGTTTTCAATTCTATGTGAGGTGGAAGTGTCTTTTCAACTTCAATCAACCATGTCTGCAACTTCTTGGCGATTTCATCAAACCCTGACCATTTGGACATCTTATCTTGCATTTGTCTTGAGGTCATAACAATATTATCAAACAGTTGATCAAATGTTTGTTGTAGTTCTTCAAGCTGGGAACGAATAGCTTCACGACCATCAGTAGCAGTCAACCCATAACACTTCTCACCTAACTCAATAGTATTATTCAACAGTAAAGTCGCGGTTGGCTGTTGAGCCACTAATTCCTGAATAACGGTTTGCTTCTTCAGTAAATCATCGCGAGAACCAAGTTGAGACAAATCACAACAGTCATCATATTTTCCTTGCGCACTAGCGATCCAATCTGAGCACTGTTTGTACTTATCATTGAAGTGTTGGTGATCCTGAACGGCTTGCTCGCATTTCTTCAGTATTTCTTTAGTTGTAGTTTGAATTGATTGGAAACGGGAAGTTACTTGTTGGACGTTTACTGCAATCCTTGTTTCACCAGAACTTTGTATTAACTCGGAAGAGTCATCTTTAATTTTTTCAAACTCAACTTCATTCTGACGAAGATTTTGCAAAATTGTTTGGAAGCGTTGTAGCTGCTCTTCCTTCTCTTCCAATGTAGATTTTGGATTGTAGTTTTTAAGTGCATTCTCGGCTTCACTCAACCATGTGATTAGACGATCCAAATTTACTTCATAATCATTCCATTGTTGCAATCGGTTTTCTAATCCACTTTTTACGTCACTCAAAGAACTATTAAACTTCTCAAAGTCAACCTTCAAGTTACTTAAATCACGTGCCATGGCTTCCTTAGAACGTGCGGGTAACAAGCCGGCATTTTGTTCGATATGTTCTGAAAGAGCTTCTAATTTAGATATTACAATTGGCAGACCATCCTGTATATCAATTATTTTGTTGAGACGTGCCTGTAAGGCCACTTTATTTCCTGAATAATCAGAGTAGCCAGTAAGTCGATCCCACAAATTCTTTTGGTAGTCCTGTTGAGCTTTTTGTAATTCACTGAATTGCTGGAATACCTCAAAAGCTTCTTCGAGCTTACCAAGTAAGTTAGTGCAGTCAGCTGACACCTTTTCATAACGTGTATTAACGTCAGAGATAGCATTTTGTATTTCAGCTGCATTGCCTGCAACTGCACTTTCAAGTAAAATTCCACCCTTTTCATTTACAGATTCTACAACTCGTTTATGTGAATTTATATCTTGCATTGTGCCTTTGTATTTAAATAATTTCGAACGAATCTCTTGAGCATTAGTCCATGTGGTAGGATTTTCATTCTGCAATACTTTTTCGATTTGATCTAGCCAATTAAGCGTTTGGTTAAGTATATCATGATAGCTAGACAACTGTACAGTTTGTGCTTCCTGCCGTTTCTGCAAGCTACGTATGCCTTCATCCAATTTATCCCAACGATCTCTTATATCTCGTAATTCCTTACGTATTTTCTCACGACCAGAAGTAGATGTTTCTGGCAAAGCTTTTTCCCCAGCAGAATTTAATGCAACAAATAGAGCGTCAGCTTGTTCCTTTTCAGACAATAGGACTTGTAAAATATTTGCTGACTGTAATGGTTCGTCTTTAAGTGCACTTTCCAATTGTTTCTCAATCGGTTTTAACCACAAGTCTACTTCAATGTATTTATCTTGATAAATTTGATGATCATCCACCAAATTTGACCAACGATTGACAACTTCTTTGCTAAGCACCTGCAGTAATTGATAGCGATTGGTTATTTGAGATGCAAGTGTTTTTAAACGCTCTGCTCCACAGTTATTGAGCAGCGCGTGAGCAGTATCGGCAAATGCGTCAATTTCTTTTTCTTTGTGCATGATGAGATCACGTTGAATTTTGTACTTTTCCAACTGCTCAAACTTTTCATGAAGTGTCGATTGTAGCTGTTGCTCCCGGAAAACACTTTCGGCTGTACGACACCATTTCGACAACTCTTCTAATGATTTTTCAAAATTATTCCATTGCTGCAGTACATCCTTCTGCTTACCCTCGATGCCTTCAATGTCATCGAAATGACTTTTTATTGTGGTTTCTAATTCTTCTACCTCCTTTTCAAGAATTCCATTTCCTTTTTCGGAAGTTGTGGGTTGTATGCTTACCAACTGCTCGCGTATGTCTGCCATGAGTTTCTGTGCATGTGGTTTGTTCTGTGCTAATTGCTCCAATGTCTCAATTTTCCGTTTAATATCCGTTTTTTCACCATAAGCATCGTCACATTCTAGAAGTTTCTCTTTCTCTGTCGCTATCCAAGATTTGGCAGTCGCGATTTGGTTATTTAACTGTGCGTGCTTATCGACACAATCTTCAAGGTTTTTCAGTATTTCATCAGATTTCTGTACAATGCTTTGGAAAAGTTTCTTAATGGATTGCAAGTAAACATTTAAGGAATTATCTTTTATTTGCTCAATCAAAATTTGAGCTTTGTCACATACATTATCGACCAAAACATTATGCGTTGTAATTTCCTGGTGTAATAATTTATGATTCTGCAGTTGCGCACGTTTCTCTTGCAATGAAGTTTTGAGTTCAGTGTGGCTTTGCATTGCCTTATCAACATCCTTTAACCATTTTGTTAATTGATCCTGTGCAATCGTAAACTCGTTGAACTGCAAGAGACAGTGATCGATTTTCTGTATAGTAGAATTTAGGTCATCAGTGTAGTTATCCCACATAGTTCGCAAGTTTCTCAATTGTTGACGTATGATTTCTCGACCGTCTGGACTGGTATGCCCATACAGCTTTTCGCCACGATCTATCAAGCTTTCGAATGTTGTGGAATCGTTTACACGCTCTTCAGACATTTCACGTAATTTATTTTGATGTTCTTGCAATATATTTTGATCACCTACAACTTCACTATAGTTTGCTAATTTATTTGCAGAGTCCTGGACGGCTTTTTTGAACAGTTCGTAATCCGAATCGAACAATTCATGATCTTTTGCGTAGTTGGTATACTTCACAATGGATTCTCTGCAAAGGTTTTTGAGAGTTTGATAGCGGGTATTTAAGCGGGATAACTTAAGATTTAAATCAGTTTCACCCTCGATTACGCGCCCTTGCTCCATTAGATCGTTTATGGAAGTGCCACGATTTTCAATTTCCTGTGCTATTTTTTCTAACTCTTTAAGGTGTGCTTTCTTGGCATCTGCCGTACTCCTTAGACTTTGATTTTTAACAATTCCTTCAATGTTCTTCATCCAATTATCAAGATCATCGATAATGGCTGAAAATTCGTCCCATTTCGAACAAAGTTGTTTTAGTTGAACAAGAGAATCTTGACATTGCAACATAAAATCATTCCAAGCCTTTTTCGGTTCAGCGAAGCTCTTCAAAAGTGCAGGATGACCAGACGGATGAGTTTGCGTTATAACAGTTTCTAGTAAATTATGGCAAGCATCAAATATTGCGTCACCTTCAGATTTATGCTGAAGTAGATTTTCCACGACAACTAACTTCTCTTCGGCGCCTTCTTTTTCAAAAGTAGTTTCATTTAAAATTTCAACTGCTTCTGTTTTAATGGTATTAAGCCAGTCCTGAGCTTTCTCTAACACTTGATCATAGGCTTCATGTTTCATTACTTGATTATTTACTACGTTAATTCGATCCGATATCTTATTCACCATATCATTATATTCCTGTATCGATTCCTCAGTTTTACGTTCCGACTCATCATCGCATAATGTGACAGCCTTATCTTGGAGCTGTTTGAGTGCATTCTTATGCAGATTAATTTCCTGCAACTGAGTTTTGTAGTTGCGCAAAGCGGATTTTTTTGCTGCTAAGGTAGGATACAATTCATCGTCTTTGACAACCTTTGCCTTTGCTTCATTTAGATAATGTGAAACCTGAGTATAACTATCTTCGATTGAAGTCTTTTGAATGAGCACCGCTTCGACTTGCTGCATAAGAGCATTGGCTTCATCACGCAAATAATCATAGTTCTCCCGCAGCTGTCGCAGCTCAGAACGTATTTTTTCCCGATTTTCAGGTGTGATTGTTGGGTATAATGCTTCACTTATGTCAACGGCATTATTTAAAAGCAACTGACCATTATCAAAAACTTTCATGTAGTTCTGAATAGTTTTAAGTTGTTGCGCAGTAGCTGATGATGAACCAGGTGATCCCATACGTGCAAGCTCTTGGAATTCGATTTTCGCATCCTGGAACCATTCATTAAAATCATTCACTGCCTTATTAAAGCTGACATTTGCTTTTTGTGCACCTTTCATCTTATCAATGTAACCTGCTAAGCTTTTGGAAGCAGTTTGATACCGCTGAACCAAATGGGTCACAAATTGACCAATTCGAGCCTCAGGGTTCTTCGCTATTAGAAGTTGTGATGTTTTTTCTAAATTATTGATAAGTGGCTCATGAGCCTTTACATCGCCTTGCAATATTACCAATTCTTGCATCTTTTTATCAATGCCAGGTATATCAATTTGATTGCTAGTCTCCGCTTTGATGTGTCCTTCCACATCTCGCAACCACGACGAAATATCTTCATTTGCCTGTTCATATTGCGACCACAAATCGACATTTTCATCCAAAATATTTCTTATTTTGTCAAAACTGTCCTGCAAATTGTGCATTTCAGCGTTGAGTAACTCAGCATCTTTCTTTAAATCGTGAAGATTTTGGGGCGATTCAACCACTTCAAGCATTTCCAAAGTTTTTAACAGTTCACCATGTTTCTTTTTGCAATCATCAATGCTTTTTCCTACTTCTTGTAAAGAGGATTTCTTTACATCTAAATTGTACTTATCGCTTGTTGTTTCCGGCTGACACCAGGTAACTTTTTCCCGTTGAGTCGATATTATGCGTTTTAAAGCCCCAACTCTATCGTTGTGGAACTTTTTCAAAAATTGCAAAAGCGAGCCCTCAATTTTTTTGGCATACAAATCGACTCCTTCAAAACGCTTTTGCACATTATTGAGTTCTTTGGGAATAATAGATTCGTTGAAGGTTGGATATAAATTCCGGATTTCATCAACTTTTTGTTTTATGGTGTCAACATCATTTCCACTATTACCCAATTCACCGCGTAATGCTCTACATTCCAGTAGTCGTTCCATAATTTTAGAATTGTCTCCAGACATATCGTCACATTTAATTAATTTTTCGCGTAGTTTGTTTATATTTTCACCCACTGCTTTGATATCCTTTCGTAATTTCTGCTCCTGATCATTGAATGAGGATGTTATAGCATTTAAGCGTTCTGAGTTCATCTCAAGTTCAGCAAATTGATCCGCAAGCACTTGATTCAATGCAGTTAAAGCTGGAATTTCAACACCGTTGTTAATTTTCACTAATTCATTAGTTTTATCTCGAATTGTTTCCTTTAATGTTTGGTAAGTAGGAAGATCAGAGTGATATTTACTCAAACGCATGGGTCCAAATTCGATTTCGATGGTATTATCGGCCGCATCACTAAGACCTTGATTTGTTTCCGATATCCACGGGAGCAAATCTTTCTTTGCATCCTCTATTTGTGACCAAATCACAGTTTCCGTTTCGAAAGTATGTGATTTCTTTGCAGTTTGGTCATGTAAATCTTGCCATTGTTTTTTAGCATGAATGACATCATTTGGAATTTCTTGTGGTACAATCTCACCGATAGCTTCAAATAGTTTTGCAACATTATTTCCTCTGCGCTCAAATTCATCAAGATTTACTTTACACTTTCGTACTTGTTCCATTGTTTTGCGGGTTTTATCAAAAGCTTGCTGTAATTCGACTTCATCGTGTGGATGTTGTGGAATTGTACGGAATAGATCTTCTGCTTTCTTAAGATCTGCAGAAAACTTATTTTTGGAATCAGCATATTCACGTAGTGATTGACTAATGGCATTATATTTCTGAATGCGCTCAGCTATTTCATTTTGTAAAGAGTCGTAGTTTTTATCCATAATTAAAAGACCCTCCTGTATTGCAGGCATTATTGTAATATCTTCTCGCATTAATATTGATCCTTCATCGTGTATACTGTCCTTTACGCCGGCTTGATGTTTAATAATTTCATTAAGTGCAATAAGATCTGCAATTATTTGATCAATATTATTCAAATTGGGTTTTTGCTTCAGAATGTTGTTCAGTTTGTCCCGATTCTCTTGCAGAGCTTTTCCGAAATTATTTTCTAGCGCTACAAACTTCTCTTTTCGCACATTCATTTGATCTATTTGTTGTTTTTGACTTTGAGAACGCATTTTGAGATTATCCAATTTATTACCAATATCATTAACGATCTGTAACGCAATAAGTGGTTTTCGCGTTGCCATATCTCTCAATTGAATAGCTGTGCTTTCATCAATATCCTTAGCCTGATCCTTCCAGTATCCCAATGACGCTCCAATTGTGTCAATTTCATTTATAATTTTTGATAACTCTTGAGTGTTAGGTGCCTCTACTTTCTCCAACTGGTGCTTAATATAATTTAAATGACTTTCTGTCTCATTTTTCCAACCAAGAAGTTCAGTCCATTTTTCTAGAGCTGCTTTCTTCTCCATCATATTACCTTCTAAGTTTTGATAGTTAACCACCAGAGAAGTGTAAGCATCATTAAGAGCATTCGCTTCTACTGGCGAAGAATGGAGTGCAAGTTGTTTAACTTCATCGTAAATGGAATTGAAACTTGGCTTCTTGTCGGCATGCTCTTGCATTAACGCATGAATGACATGCAAACTCGTTTCAACGCGCTCTGGATTTATTTCTTCTACTTGAGAAATTTGATTGCGTAATTGATTCATCCAGTTTGAGAAATTTGCGAGTTTGGCGTTGAAATCTTGTCTTGACATTATGGCATCTGAAACGTCGTTGATATTTGCTCGGGTTGCTTCTGACAGTTTTTGTAATTTGACCTTCATGCCGTTAATGCGATCTTTCATTGCAGTTGCTCCTTCAGGTGCTAAATGCAAACTAATCTGATCAGCCGACTGGCTTAATGCTACTAGTTTGGCTTGCTGTTCAGATATCTCATTATTGAACAGTTTCAGTTGAACTAATTCTTTTTCGAGCTTATCTACATATGGAGTACTGAGTACAGCAGATCGCTTACTGACCTGTTCTTCGCCTTTATTTACCCAGTCTTCTAACTTAGAAGCATCTGCATCGAACGACTTCCAATTGGAAACTAATTTTTCTAGTTTTGAACTAGCCTGTTTTGCATTTTCATGAACAGATGTCCAGCGGGAGTGCATGGCATCTAACTCATCAGGGGCATTGGTTTTACATAACATTTTATGACTTATGTTTGAGATGCCTTGGAGTCTGTCTAATTGCTCGAGGCATTGTGTTTCAAATTGTTTGGCATTTTGTTGCAATGCAACAGCTTCTTCTAAGGTAATGGGCTTAGGAACTATAGTATTTACCTTGACTTCACTTTCCTCAACGATTGGTTTGATTTGCTGTAAACCTGCTTGGTATTGTTGCCAGTTAACCAAATCTTCTTGTACAGCCTGTGCCTGATGATCAAAGTTACGATTGATAACGCTCAACACTTCTTGGAGTTTTGTAATTTCGCCCTTCAAACGCTTCGCTTCTGCAATATTACCCTCTTTTGGCGCCAACTCTGATGCATCAGCCGATAGTAAATCGAGTTGCTTCATACGCTCAGCTAGTATACCCTTGAAGACGTTGACTTTAAGTAAACGCTCTTCGGGTGTAAGGTCTTCTGATTTAAGTGTTTCAATAGTTTTTGGTGCAACCTTATTAGCCCACTCCTGTAACTCAGCTAAACGAGACTTGTAATTGTTCCATTTAGTGCTGTAATCTTCTAAATACCCAACACGATCTTTCACATGCTCCATGGTATTAAAGAACATTTTTTCAACTTCTGTCACCTCTTTTTCGAGTATTGGACGCTTTTCAATAGCTGCTAATGTTGCCAGTTCACCCTTTAGAGTATGTAACTTAGGTAGTAACTGCTGCGAGGCCTGTTGTAACTGTACATTTAGTTCACGTTTAGCTTTTAGATCCTGACTAACGTTTTTAGGATCAGTTTGTAGAGGAGTAAGCGCACGTAATTCAGTCTCAGCAACTTGTAACAAGGAGAAAATATCATTTTTCTGATCGACAAATTCATTCCATACAGCTTGGGTTCCTTTCAGTGCTTGCAACTTATCGGCTGTTTCGGTATATGCCTCATTCCAACCTGTTTCAAGGTTGAGCACTTCAGCATTCACAAAGGCAGGTGCATGTACATCTTTACTGAGATCACGACCACGTTGCAACATAGACATTATGTGTGGTCGCTGATGGTCGAGTTGATTAATGGCATACTGCTGTTCTTCAATCATTCTATTAACGCGTTCCAAACTATCAGGGGCAGGTATATTAGCCGTCTGTTCCTTAACTTTGCTAAGCAGACAAACAACCTCATGCACTTCACGTCTATATGTGTAGCATTTTGAGAACACCTCAGTTTTTACCATCGTTATTTCAATTGTTGGTATAAGATTCTTATATCGAGCAATCAAGTCCTCCAGTTTTTTCTGCTCTAAATTTGCCTCCATTTCACTAGCATAGCTAAGTAAGGAATCTAAAGTCTTGACAAGCCACTTCATGTCCTCACGTTTGTTATCTGCTTCTTGACAGATTTTCTATAAGCAATAAGAAAATAAATTAGTTACGAGAAATGTCGCTTGAATTAAATAAAATGTGAGATGAGATGGGTTTAATGGTTCCCTATACTTTTTATTTATTAATTTTTTTTTTTTGAAGGAATATATTAAAAGTTCATACCACAAGTTCCTTAAGCTGCATGGCAATTAAAAGAGTTTTTATGAGTTTGTGCATTTAGTGAATACAAACTTAAAGTAATATTGTTAATGAATGCCTACCTGGAAAACCACCTTCTCCTTTTCAAATTCTTCCATACTGTTAACCTCATTTACTATGTTCTTCAGACTGTTGTCCACGATATTCATCCATTCGACCATCTCATTGAACTTCTCATGATAGCTATCCCATTGTGCAGGTATTTGCTGTAGTGTTTTGCTCATCTCACCGATCTGACCAGAAACATGTTGCCATTGAGACCTTGCGTTTTTGTAAGCTTGTTCGAGGCTTGAGTCTGTTGGTTTTTGAGCTCCGTACAGTTGAGCCAGACGTTGCATATTTGAAAGACACTTTTCCATTACCGGAAAAGCATCTTGTTGCTGAAAGAATCTCTCGTTTCGCCTTAGTATCGATTCAACATCTTCATTTCGATTCAATGCTTGTTGCTCTAAATGCAACTCCTTTTCGACGCCCTTCAATGCATCGTAGAAGTTTGATTCATCAAGACGGAATTCAAGTTTTGTTAAATGCAAAGGCGCTTGACCAAGTACTGCTTGCCATTTCGCTTGTAGGTCTTCAACTTTTTGTACAATTGGTTGTTGTTCTGGCGGTGGTACAGTCTTAAGTAAATCCTGAGCAGATTGTACCAGATCGTACATCCATCGGTCATTTACATTTTCAAAGTAGTATTGCTGAGTTTCTATCACCGTCTTCGAAGTGATATGCTTTTCCGTAAGCATAGTTTCTGCTTGTGAGAGCCATTCACTTACAACACGTTCGTTTTCATTGAAATTGTTCCAACAATTAAGCGTGTCCATCAGACGTTGCTCACATTGTTGAGCATTTTGAATGACATAGTTGAATCGCTCGTTCAATTGTTGCATATTCTGCTCGACTTGAGTCGTGTCTATATTCTTCTCAGTAGCTACTGATTTCAACAAATTCTGGAATACTTTATTCTTGCTTTCTAACATAGAACGATAGTAAACAGTACGAGAGAAAAATATTTTGTGCTTATTGAGCTCTTCATTTAAAGTATCCCTGCCTCTCGACAAGGTATATGTGCTCAACAGATTTTCAGCTTCATTAAGCCATTGATTAATTTCTTTTTGACCCGCCTCAAGGGACTCCTGCTGAATTTGCAATTGATGGAAAAGATGTAATTTAGTAGGTATTTGTGCACGAACGCGCACTAATGCCTCTTTCTCCTGTTTTAATATTTTCATTGTTTTATCGACTTCATCTCTAGATAGATCCTGTATTAAGCTCTGGAAGTTTTTGCTTATAGTTTTAAATAGTTCCTCGTTATCATCAATTTCTCCAGCTAGTTTTTGCAATTCATCGCCATATTTCTGAATTTGTTCCATATTGCCTAACACTTTTCTTTGTTCTAGTACCTGCTCAGCATGGCGCAACCACTGAGACAGTTTTTCAAGACCTTGTTTATATTCTTGACGAGTACGTATTATATCACCCGCATGCATGTATTGCTTTGTGTTAGCGAAAAGCCGTTCAAATCTTTCTGATAAGCCACCGTGCTTTTGGCGCAAATTATACGCAATTGATTCTTCACAAGAAGCAATTAAATAATTGGCAGAATTAGCTAAACTATGGAATCTGTCTTTCCAAATACTAATATCTTGGAAGAAATCAAGACGCTCATCTTCGGAGCTGTCTACTTTCTTTTCGGCTAGATTCAACCATTCTTCGCATACAGGTGCTAACTGATTCCATGTTTTCCAACAATTCACAACCTCTTCTAAAGAATTTTGACAGCATTTAAGTTCCATTGACACTCGCTTCCAGCGTTCTTCTGTTTCAAACATGAAACGATCAATTTCAGTCACATCTTTTGTACTAATTTTGCCATCACGTTTGTACTCATCGACTACTTGCTGCATATCAACAAATGCCTTTTGAAATTCTTGGAAGATTTTATTACGTGAAACGAAATTCTTATATTGCTCCAATTGCTGAGATACTTTGTCTTCGTAACCATATTTACCACTCCAGCCTTTCATTTTATTTTCAACTAAATTAAGGAAGGCAATCAAACAACATTTGTGCTCCAAAAACTTTAAACGAATTCTTCGCTCAGCTGCTTTAGGTGGAACCTCTTGTAGACGTCGCTCCATATTACGCAGTTGCTCTATAGGAACTTTTTGCACATCTGGTGATCGCTTACCATTATCGAACATAGCGGTTATACGTGGCAAATTAGCAAAGAACAACTTATGTTCTTCCAGCTTTCTACTTATAACAGAAGCAGTTTCTTCATTCATCATGGTGGGAATTTCATTGTCGGAAAGTAATTTCTCAGCTTCAGCCAACCATTTGCCAACTATACCAAATTCACCAGGCAATTCAGAATCTAACAACCATAGCCAATACATCATTTGATATTGCACTCGTTGCCAAAGCTCGGTGATAATTTCCCATTTCTGACGTGGTACTTGCAAAAATCCACTTTGACTATCCATTAATTGTTTTATACGATTATAAAGTGGCAAATGCGCATCGACTTCTGAACGTGCAATTAAATATTCAGAAAAGTCACGGGGAAAAGAGTTATTATTAACCATGGGCTCATATTCAGCTACTTTCTCCAACAAGAAACGACGTAACTCTTCTAATTCCTGTTGTATATGTGAGGAATCCCGTGAAGCACCCTACAAAACAAGAACATAACATAAGCATATACAATAATTATGATGAGAAAAAAATCTAACAATACTTACTTTTGGTTCAGGATACTTGTGCAAAAATTGTGCCACATAGGTCATTATACTCTTCTCATCCGGCTTTTGTACATCAACATCTTCAGCATCCAACAATTTTGCGATGCCCAATTTACTTTCTGCTACATCGAAAGCAGTTTCCAAACGTTGGCGATTACTAGTCTTCTTTAATTCTGCTAAATTAACCAGATTTGCTTTAATGGCATCAATAAGTGCAAGAAATGCGACACCGTCTCTCCAACTAGCGCCGAAATCTTTCACCTCAACACCAATATCTCTGCAACAAAAAGTTTATTCAATCGAGTAATCTATAAATACATTAACCTATATAACATTAACTTACTTTGGCAAAGCATTCGTGACCCAGTTTAGCAAAGTTTTTCTGGCTCCCTGCTTCCATTTCTCAGCTTTTTGATCGCTGGCTGTTTTACCAACACTATCCAAAGAGCTAACCGAACCGCTTATACCGTGACCCAAATACTCAAGGTTGCGGCTGTTCTCTTCAATCTTGAAAATACAAATTAATGCGTAAGTTGTCAAGTTGTATAATTTCACATTTAGAACTATGAGTATATAGTATATATTTTTGAAATATTTAGTTATATGGTATACAGATTTATCAAAACCCGTCTCTTGAAGTAGCTGAGTCGAACGACAAGCATTTCATTCGTATTTTGTATCATCTAACGAACGAAAACTATTATTGATTTACCGACATTTTGGTGGTTTTTTTGGATTGGAAAATTAGAGGAAAGGAAAAATAGTACGTACTTGGTGTTATATAGTGCTCTAGTGAAGGGAGATAGTTACAGGATACTAGAGAAACAACTAGATAAAGTTCCGAAATATGTTATGATGTTGATATCTTTAGAGGTAAAATCTATAGAAACGAATTAAAAGCTTAGCTACTTTCGGTTTTTTTTTCCGAGATGATCAAGATTAGCAAGATAATAGATACACATACATCGGTCAATTCAAGCCTTTACTTTCTTTATGCAATTGTCAACTTACGTGTTCATCTACACGTGTTAGTTAAATATTTACTTACTCTTTAATCTGTTTGCTTAAATATTTTTAAATATATTCATCAATTAAAAATAACAAAAAGAGATATTTAAAATTTCGTGAAAAAACCTACCTGCGGAGCATAATCAATAACTACAAAAAACTTTTTCCGCCTCTTTTTACGAAGCTTGCATTTCAAAGAGATCAAAATCAAAAAGATATAAACAAAAAATTTACTTTATTGGTATAAGCTGTGGATTTTATGCATATATAAATAATATTAATAATAAAAATTAAAAACGAAATTCATCTTAAATGTATTAGTTTAGGTGCAGGCTTACAACACTACCGTATACTACTTGAAATTTTAAAAGTAATGCCTTAGTGCTCTAGAACTTTTAAAATCGAAAATCTCTGGTTTCTACACTGCAATGGAAATGATTTTCTAGAGTTTAGCTGGAGCGTAAAACTAGAAATTGGGTGACTACTGATATGGAAGGAAAGTGTATATCGAAAGAAAGAATTCTAGAGAGTAAATATCACAGTTCTATCATATTGAGTAGTCTAAAAAATATAGAACTTTTTGGTAACTTTTAAGTATTAGAACGAAATAATTTTGGCAACAGTTACTCTCTTTTGAAAATCTAAATTGTTATTAATCATCAAACATTATAATACAATAAACCTCACTCACTACACAATAAAGTTCGACATATCTGTTCTACACACTCTCACTCAAAAAAAAAACTCTCAAAAATAGTCTTTTTGCGAGTCCGTGATGAATTAAAATTAATTTGAACTATTTTTAAAGACCCTGATAACGTGTAATACAAAATAGATCACGTACAAGGTGGTGCGAGAAAAAGTAGAAGGATAAAAAGTATCACGACATGTGGTCGTGATGTACGTATATATTATCACCGAAAAATAATCTGAGGGAAAAAATATCCATTTTAAAGAAATTGACGACGAAGGATGAAAAGTGGATTGTATTCGTCAAAATGAGCACAGTTGCGCTGACACTGACATCAAAATAGGAGACCCAGTGTACTATACAGTACATACATTATAAACTGCTGCCATTTGAAAATATCATCGATTATGTTCTGTGCTGTTAGATGCTCACCATAATTCATCACAAAAAGAGCGTTTCTCTACCTATATAATGTTTATTTTACACCACACTATTTCTTAAAAGTGCAATGAAATAAACAATTATTAATTAACCTAAAATATATCGGTTGAAATCAAGAAAATTTTATTTAAAAAAACTGTAAGAGGTCAATACTTTCCAGACTTCACGGAAGACTCAAGGAATTTATGGAATAAAGTCTACTTTTTTTTACAAAATTCACTGATAATGATATGTATTACAATTTCAAAATAATTTATTATAGGACTAGCATTTACACAATTCATCAATTAATTAGAAATCATTATTAATGTCGAAGCTAGCTATCCTGGCCTTACCATTTCAATATTATTATTATCATTTCCCTAATTAGTATCGCAGTGTTCGATATACAGATAGGGCGAAAAGCCATTTATAATGAGTATTATATACTTATATAATATCTTTCAAAGACTTATTTTAAAGGAAAGATATTTAAGATGTACATTATTTATTAGCAAAATAATGTAAGGAATACGTATAATTAAGTTAGGCCGTGCTGTAAATTATAATACGAAAAATTAAAGAAAATACGAACAACAACATCAATAAGTATATTGATCAAATAATATAATTAATAATTCTTACAGTAAACACTTACTTGGAAATATAAAATAATAGTCCAAATCAAACCCAACACAACTGGTGGTCTCCCATCCACCAAATCGGCAGGGTTTATATTGACTAATTTAATCCGCTTGCTGGCTAAGAATTGTAAAGCAGTATTGGCGTTGCTAAGAAAATGAGGACGACGTAAAACTCGTCCTTTTTCTACTGGTAAACGCTCACCGGAAAGAACCTCTAAGAGAGCTATTAATTTTGTTCCATCTCGTAAATCGTTTATTAAGTCATCAACTCGAAGCGGAGGAATACGCTAAAAATACAAAAGAATTTATTTTATATTTTTTTTATAAATATTTCTTATTTAATCATTATAAAGTTGAGGTGAACTAAATATATAACTTAGAACCAGGAAATCGGACAACTAAGTAGGCATCACTTGAAGTCCAATATATATACGTAAGTACTGTATATTATACACATAAAAAAACCTTGACAATTTGTCAAGATTTTGGTATTCTGTGCTATAAATAAATTGTCAAGTTGACAAATGCACGACACATAATAAAATGCTCTTTACAAGCATTTTTTTATTGTTTGTACAATATTGTGGAAAATACTTCGTTTAAATGAAAGGAAATATTTTACTGTTACTATTATTGTTAGAAAAAGAAAATGATTAAAAAGGATATGGCATGCGAAATTTAAGACATCTACCTTTAAATAATGCTGAACGGCTACTTATATATATTTATATCTAAATAGGAAAGCGATCACAGTTTTAATGAAGAAGCATTAAGTTTTGTTGCCTATGATCAAATTCTGGGATTTTATTAACTGTTGACCTACGGGAGCATCTCATCTGCCAGTATACTGATGGATTTGTAGTACACATAACATAAAATAATACTGGCTTGTTGGCGATCAAGTTTACCCTCTGAAGCTCTGACTATTAACAATAGTTAAAGCTCCAAATAGCAAAAATACAATAAATTACATGGTTCTACCAGAATATGGACAGAAAGGGCATTTGGCGTTTTAAAGTCTCGCTTCAGATGTTTGCTAAAGCACAGAGTCCTACTTTATTCGCATGAAAATTCAGCTCTCTTTATTAGCACTTTTGTTATATTGTATAATATAACGACGAAAGCAAACATTACAGTGAATGAGATTGAAGACAATGTTGCAAAAGAATCTGATTATGTTTTTCATGCTATTGATTCGTCACAGTAGACAAGGTGAAGATATATTTCAACTCTTCTGATTCTTGTGACAAAACGCTTTTTACCATAGTGTGGTGAAAAGCACTAGGTACTTAAGCCTTGAAATTTGTCAAGATTTGCCCAGAAAAGTGAAAATTTTGAATAATTGTTAATACTTGACAAATTTGTCAAGTTCACAGAATAGGGAAGATAATGTGTCTTTATAAATTATTGAAGATAATGTAATTAAAATGTATATATAGAAAACATAAATAAACACATAGTTATGAGAATACATATTATATGTCTTATAATCCAGTCTTATAAACTTACCTTCGAAAGATATGAATTGATCCAGTTTGTAAATGTCTTCTTTTGAACACGCTCTTGCTCCTCTGTAAAACAAAAAAATACAGTTCTTAAAATGAAAAATTCAATATATTTTTATATTTATATATATATATATGTCCTAATATATTGTTAGGAGAAGGTATATATGACTTTTTAAGGTATCATGGTACATTAAGACAAATGACATCCTCATGGACATCAAGATTGATCCCATCAAAAAATACATAAAGGATAGAGCCCTGATATTATTTGCGAAAACTGACAGACTTACCAACACCGCGTTATCAAATCTCAAAATGGTTACAGGCTCCTCGGGGAGGTATGCAGATCTGAGATCAATTATTGCTTAGTCTGATAAAGTGATAAACATTAATCTACTAAAGGTGTAGAGAGGGGTTTTGAAGAAACCTCGAGTTAAAAAAGAGTATAAGTGCTTAAATGCACTAGCTCAAAACAGCTTCAACATAATAAAACATATAATTAAAAATATGAATTTTAAAAACTTTTATAGAACTACATTTTTCGTTTAAAATAACGATTTAAATAGTTAGATGCTGAGTTATACAAACTAACTAAAAAAAACGACGAGAAGAATGGTAAGGTGCGGTCATTTAAGGACAATAAGCAATTAATTTTACGTTTCGATGACACAAAAAAATTTTTCCACCATTATATAAATATTTCGGGAAAAAAAATATAATAATTTTAAGCTTAAGCTTTCGCCAAATGCTGGACACTTATAATATTTGTCATGCATAGGATTGTCTATTTGTTTAAGTGACCTACAGTAGGATTTCTACACTGTAACTCGGGCTAGTTTTAATATACTCCCACACCCTACACCAATCAATTCCGTTCTCTATTTTCAAAACGTTTTACATTGGCCTATGACTATACTATACTTTACTATACTTTACTTTGGAAGTTTTAAAGTACTCATACACAACCTTCTGAAGTTACCTATTCTCTAGATTAATTCGGTTAATTTGAATCTAATATTAGCATCGCTGAACAAAAATTTCCGTACTTTTTCATTTAACTGAAGTTATAATTTTGAAGTTACAAAACGATTTAAATAATTAGGGATGCTAATAATCGAAGTTTAGAGATGTTCTGCTATATTTGAAAGTCGCCTAACACACCTCATTACATGACACTCTATGATTACATAGGGTATTTGAAATGTTTTTTACTTGTTAAGAGAGAGATCTAAAACCTCATAATACCGTTTATGAAAGTATTTTATTGCCTACATTGATGGATATTAAATTATGTGCATAAATAAATAATTTTCTTCTTTAGATAGTTCGCAACCTTCGGATGGTAAGTTTTCAAAAATATTCTATTAATTTATATCTTCATGTGCTAATTATAGTTTATAGTTTACCACAACTATCCCGAGGATTTAATTTATCTCAGATTAATTGGTATATTGTCATTGGAGAAATAATATGTAAATAAGAATATACATATGTCAAATATAGATATATACATATGTACATACTTTTTTAAACAAATAAATTAAACAATAATTTAGTAATATGTAAATAAAAATGATTCATGAATTATGCATATTTTTATAAATATTTCTGTAGTTTTTAATCTTTAAATTCATATTTGCGCTTATAATGACAACGGATTATAATGACCAGATTGCGTTGGTCCCTTCAATGTCATTATGACCGATATTGGTACTTTAAGTGATATAAAAGTGATATGCATCATGTTTGTGTGTGCTGAAAATTAGCGAGCAGATCCTAATTTCAATTAAATCTATTGTAGAAAGTCAATTAGACTAGATAGTTTTGTATAGTTAATCTCCAAATATATTAAAATGCAATCCATATATTAATTAAATTGATTAAAAGTACTACATAACCCAGCCATCAGTAGACACAGACAACGTCATCTCTAGCACAGCATTATAAATCCATACAAGATTCGGAAAATATACCAATTAGAAGGTTCATAAATACAAATACCACAATTTCTTAATTTAAAGAGGATGACATAATACACAAAAGAATGTGAAGCACTGCCTCTTAACGGGTCTACGATAACATGGACATGACAATGTGTTTAATATATAATCACATTGCGTTGTTAACTAAATAAATACTCGTATGCAAGAAAGTTAATTATTTACTATTTAATTATATGACAAATCATTCTGAATATTTTTAGAAATCGTTAACTGCACATTAATCTTCCATTAATAGGAATAAAGCAACTTCATGTATAAGAAACACACATTTAAATAGAAATATTTGATTAAATTAGTTTTATCATTTCCACGTAAAAATAAAACAATTTTTTTAACTGATATAGTAAAAATAATTTAGATAAGGAATTTAAATGTGAAGTACAAAGTTTCAATTACTATACAAGTACTTGACATTTAACATATTAAGCTATATAAGTGCAACTATATAGTTAAAAAAGACGTGATTTAGATGTGAAAGACAAACAATACCATATAGCCAACAATAAACGTGCAAGTCCGCTTGGTGAAACAGTTTCTATAAATAAATAAATTATTGACAACAACTAGTATTGAGTCCCTTACCAACCGATTATTGTTTATCTTAAAGGTCAGAAACAGACTCACTACAGATATATTATTACAGATAATTAAGAATCGTGTACTAGTGATATCACCAACAAAAAAAAAAACGAATTGTAAACAACTCTTTTCTGAGAAAATTTAGAGTTAAAATGTATTTAAAGCAAATAGGTAATACACACATTGTTATATGTAACATAAATATTGAAATAACGTCTACTACCAATATTATATAGATTTAAAAACTTTTTGTAAACAGCGCTTTTTACACTGTCTAGCCATTCCGCAGTGAAAAATGAGAAGAAATCAAGATTTAGTTATTTGCAAACAGGTAATTGCCCGTTTTAAACTGCTGAAATAGCCTAACTGTTAAAATTGTCTTTGAAGACGTTATCTCCATAAATACCCATAGAGAGCGCCCGCATCAAAACACAATCCCAAAAACAGCAACGCTAACTGAACATACATAGGAAAGAGAATTTAGAAATAAAACAACAAATAGCAACTATGCGAAGATAGTAAATTTTATTTGAATGCGTGAGCTATGCAAGACATTTCACGCATCCAGTCTTCAAGACATGTTGAAGATATACAACAGTCTTTAAGCACTTTTCGCGCCTTGAAGATATTTTCGTTGACAAATTCATTCGTTTCCATCTAGAAGAAAGCATAATACACACACATTGTTAATAACAATTAAAAAACATATTTTAGTAATTACAACTTATTGGGAACAGGTGTTTTGTAAAATTTCTAGTCAGTTTTCTGAAAGAAATGAGAATAAACAATTTTCAATTTTCTGAAAACTGCCATTTGTTAACTTTTATATACTGATACAGGGATCATGATCCTATATACATACATAAACATTAAACGTAAACAGCTGTTTTGTACAATATCTGATCGCTATGGTGCGATCAATGAGAATATATCAAATGTAGGTTTTTTGTTGATTAGATTCGGTGATTAGAACCGTCACACACACATTATTATAAACGTTTCATTATCGTATATCACTGCATGTGGATATATTCATGTATAAATATGTATAAAATATACAACATATGTATAGAACATATAAGTGACATAATGTCCTTATGCAAAATTTAATTTGTTCCAGTTTGAAAACTGGGAGATAGGTGCATCGAAAAGTAGACAAATGGAAAAACAATTAAAAAAATTAGTTTTATGTTGCTGATTTATTTTATATATATTGTATATATATATATTATACATATTAAATGTTGTAGTATCGTAAACAGATTCATTGTACAATATTTATTCACGTTTGATTTAGAGGTTAGTTGTAGATATACTCAATTGTGTTTGGATTTAAGCACTACTATTGTGTACTTTAAAAAATTAAGATAGAAATCTTTAAACCTATATTTGCTTTCATTATTTTTAGCTTATTGTTGTTTTTTTAAAAGACTTATAATGCAAATCAGATGATAATATCAATTCTATAAGATCCTAATAGCTAATATATACATTTTTCTTTCAGATGGTCGTCCGCATTTTTAACTAATTGAAGTTAGGTTGGAGTAGCAGCCTGACGTACCTAATTTCAATTGAGCACAAATCCTTGTATTCATCGGTTGTAATATCACAAATAAATCAGTCCTCAATAAACAGGGTACTAGTTCGCAACGGTTCGGAGACCCTAATCGAACAGAAGATATTCCGCCGTTCAAATGAAAGCCAGAATGTCAGCCGTTGAGAACCGCCTAATGTCAGAAGCAAATACTTGCAATACTCAAGTAAGATACAGTTAATGTGTATCTATATTATTATATGTGTCTATTCTATTTTCTGTACCTTAAAAAAATGTTTAGGATGTGAAAAAGTTTAACCAACTTAAATCAACAACTTAAAGGTTAAAATTGAACGTCAAATATTAAATTTTTCTCGTATTCTTTTTAAACTATAACATAGACTAAAATCAAATAGTTTTAACATATTTCTAATTAAAATTTTATATATGTATATACGCATATATACAATAGTATTTCAAACAAGCTTAACTTACTATAAGATGTTCCAAAAACAGATTTAAGGAAGTTCTACACTTCATAGTTGTACATGGCATACGTATAGCACCGATAGTCTTAAAAATAGAGATTATTTTTTATTCAAAGTGAAACGCTAACCGCAACAGACGATATAGTATCAAATAATACTTACAGTTGCCTTTGCTTTATTGGTAAAAAAATGCTTAAAACGATCATTTACACATTTTTTTTCAAATCGTAAATTAATAAAGCGTTGGACCGCAACTATTTAAACTTGACTTTCAGCTTCGTTAGCACGTGAAGAGGCAAACTGCAACTGTTTTGATTGAATAATAAGCTTTGCGTAGCTCACAGGAACCCTTTTGAACAAATCGAGAATAGATCAGTTCGTCGTAAATCTACTAAAGCATAAACAACCTTCATACATGCCATAGCTATTGAGATTTGATCTGATCCAGCAGCATATGTG